AAAAAAAACCAACAACAAAAAAGACTCTACACTGTAATAATAATTAAATACCTTTTGTATAAAAGGCACTGTTTCAAAGCTTAACCTTAATTATCACACTTAATATTCTCAAAAGGCCTGAGAAAAGTAGATTGTTGACTTTTTCATGTAAGAGAAGACTAATCTGGAAATAGCTAGTCCACTGAAGAGCTAGTCTGCAGAAAAAGTAACAGTGATCCAGAATTTGAACCCAGTCTAACACTGACACCTATTCACTTAACCATTACATGCCACTGCAAATCCTTAAACATATTTAATCTTTCCTTTTTCTACACTTGATCTTCGCCAAAAGTCTGAGAAGCGACAATTTTTCCTTTTTCTAGGAGTCAGAACAAACCTGAATCAAATGAGATTTTAAAATTATAAGTGTCATTGATAAAACAAAATATTTTCTTATACTATCTGCTTATATGCATTCTTGTTATCCCTTACTGGGAGCAATTAAACTCAGAGAGCTGCAATTTCTTTAACAATGCATGCAAAGGCATGAGAGGAAAAACATCCCCTGGAGAGTTAAAATATAAACTTTCTTTCATTCTTCTAGGAAATAAAGCAATATAATTATGAATTAAAATATTATTTCCACATTTATATTTAAAACCTCTATTTTCTTTTTTTTTTTGGTTTTTGAGACAGGGTCTCACTATATAGTTGAGACTGACCTGGAACTCACTATGTAGCCCAGGCTGGTCTCAAACTCACAGCGATCCTCGTGCCTCAGCCTCCTGAGTGCTGGGATTACAGGCGTGAGACACCACACCTGGCTTGCAGGAAACATTTTAAGTATTGACAAAGATTCACACATTCTGTATAATTTTGAACAATTTCTTCCTATTCACAATATTTATTATGCTTTTTGGTTCTTAGTTTCAGTTTCAGTTTCTCACACTGCTTAGTGTCTTATTAAATCAAGAGGTTCTAAGCAACAATACCATCTTAACATGAATTCAACCAATTTAAAACAAAAACAAAAAACTTCTGTAAACCTGAAAATACAGACTTTACCAATAACCAATTCTGTTATCTGTGCCTGGATGGGTCACTGTCATAATCTGCCTGGACTACAGCATACTATTTCTGGTCACTCTCTACTTTCTCCAAAAAAAAAAAAAAAAAAAAAAAAAAAGCCAGGGATTTAGCTCAGTTGCACCACACCTGCCTCACAAATGCAAGGTCCTGAGTTGATTCCTGGTGCAAAAAAAAAAAAAAAGAAAAAAGAAAGAAAGAAAGAAAGAAAAAAATCATCCTACTCTACATCCGTTTGTATTTGTTCCTTCCAAAAACACATCTTAAGCACAGACTCTGCTAAGCTCAGTGGCATAAAAATCATTTTAGTATATTTCTTCCTCTTTGGGTACTCACACTTGAGAGATGAAAGAGATCTACAAATGATCACAGCCACGCAGTGCGCACCCTATTCGAATGTGTGTCGAAGTAGACAGGAAGGAGCCCAAAATGGGCCTGAAAGCGTTAGGTCAGTGTCACATCTTACCAGAAGCAGCTCTCTAAAAAGTCACTTTCGCACTGTATACCTAAAATGTACCAATAAACTCAATGAGAAAAAAAAAAAGGCACTTTCATCCTCTAAAATGTCCTCTGGGAACACCAGACCTCAGAATAAATTCCAGATTTATTTTGAAAACTCTTAAAACTTAGTCCCTTACTTCATTCTCATTCATATGTGGGACTGTAAGGCTCAGATCCTGGCTTTCCTGGCAGTTACTTCACCTCTCAGTACACTGGTTTCCTCCTCTATAAAACACTGGTGATTGTACTCTCTACCTCATAGGACTATAACAGGTAGTGGCTGGCACCATAGTGCTCAACGTCACCCAATCATCATCAGTTCATTCAGCAAACACTATTTGCTACCCCTCACATAAATTTTCTCCAGCCGTGAAGGTATCAATACTAAGTAATCGATAAGGTTACTCAAGCACCATTCTGCCTCACTTCTCTCCACAAAATCTTCCCAGAATCACTCTTCCCCTCTCCAATGTTTCCATCTCACCGTGTACATATTTGTACCATAATCTTACCAACGTGTAAGATTCCTTTTGTGTTTGCCTTTTTTTTTTTTTTTTTAATGGTGAGGGGAGTTATTCAGCCCTGAAAAATGAACCCTTTCCTCTCCACCAGCAGGAAAAGAAAAATCTTCGTGATGGAGACACTGTTCCCACCGCTTTGGATTTTTATCTCATTTTAAAAGACTACTGAGGTAAGAAATGCGCAAGGTCAAACAGCCAGCCAGCACTGGAACTGCGTTCGAATTCAAGGTTTGACCCAAGATTCCACTCTTTCAAAACCACCTCAAGTGTCTCCTACAGATACACCTCAAAGTGCCCGAAGTAGGAGAGGAGGGAATGAAGAGGCGAAAACGTTACCCAGAATCTCCTTTAGAAAGGCTTTCTCCAACGAAGGGCAGCTTCCAATCATCCCCCCCTCTCCCCAAAGGCCAGAGACGCCCCCAAACCCTACCCGCTTACAGGGGCGCGCCCAGCACCCCAGAGAGATTTCGACACTCAATATTCACGGGCCAGGAGGCAGTAGGAATAATGAGCACAGCCACTTCCCCACAACTTCTCCCACAGAAAACTTTTCCAGTACCGAGTCTGCAGGATCCAACTTTCAAAATTTCCCCACCCTCTACACAGCTCCCCGCGGAAAGCTCCGCAAGGCAACAACAGAATCGCGGGTTGGCTGTCGCCCTGTCGATTTATCCAATCAGAGGTATGCAGAGGCGCAGGTTGGCTTCGCTGCTTAGTGGGAATTGTAGTTTACACTCTAACCAGCCTTTGAGCTACTACAAATCTGTTTCTCCTTGCAGTGATTACCAAAAACTGGAGCAGGAACATCACCTATGGCAGTATGAAACAAGGGGAGCCTTGCTTGGAATTTTCTATTTTCTTTCTTGTAGGATTACATTTAAAATTTGATTAGGGCCGGGGATTTAGCTCAGTGGTTCCGCCGTCTGCCTTGCAAGCACAGGGACCCGAGTTCGATATCCAGTACCAAAAAAAAAAAAAAAAGATTAGTGGGTACTCAGGAGGCTGAGGCAAGGAGGATCGCTGTGAGTTTTAGGCTAGCACGGATTACATAGCAAGTCCTTGTCTAAATAAATAAATAAATGTGCTGAGAGTCATGTTTCCTGGAGAATAGAAGACAATCCACCACCTATCAGAAGTTTTTGGAAGAGAACTTTCTGGATTTTTTGTTTGTTTGATTGTTTGTTTTGGTTTTGGCTTTGTGTGTGTGTTTGTGTGTAATTTTGTTTTGGTTTGGTTTGGTTTTTTTAAACGGGCTTTCACTATGTTGTCCCGGTTGGCCTTAAACTCACTATGTAGTGTCGCTGACATCAAACTCGCTCAGATTCTCCTGCCTCAGCCTCCCGAGTGCTGGGATTACAGGCTTGTGCCACAACGCCCGGCTCTGTTTATTTTATATTTTGGGGAATGCTGACTGAAATTACTCAAACTGAAACACGCACATTGGAGAAACCGAAGAGTCTGAACATGAAGGAGGCCAAACAAGGTTTGGTGTAAAGGCAGCTGTGATGAGGAAACCTGACAAAACATTTAAGAACTGGTTTCAGATTATTATATCTGCAAAAAAAAAAAAAAAAAACTCTGCTTAGTCTTTGCTCTCCCCTGTGCAACTCCCTTGTCTCTATTACATAATTTAGCCCACTGTATCCTAATGACTGGCCTACAACCCGCACTTGAAAAAAAGGAACCACATTTTATTCAACTTCTAAAACAGGGCCTACCTAGCACATCATTCAATTAAAAGCTGTGGGATAGCCAGGTGTGGTGGTGCACACCTGTAATCCCAACACTCAGGAAGCTGAGGCAGGTGGATAGCAAGTCGAAGGTCAGCCTGGATCTATCCCATAGCAAGACCATCCCGTCTTTTTGGGCGCGGGGTACTCAGATCGGACTCAGGTCCTGGCGCTTAGCAAGGCAGGCGGCGGAACCACTGAGCTAAATCCCCGGCCCTCCCCGCCTTTAAAAAAAATTTTTTTTAAATCGGCAAAATAAGGCCATGAATGAACGGAGTGAAGCAGAATACAACTCAGGCCGCAGAGCTCTGAGATTGTAAAAGGGCCCAAGTAAAATAATAATAGAGGAGGACGAACTCTCCTAGCTCTGAGTAACCCCAACCCCTGGCAAAGCACTACCACGGGTTGTCGCTGAGTAAATGACTTCAGACGCTAGGGAGAAAGCGAAAGAAAACAAAGCAAAGAACAGAGCTATTCCCGCCACTTGCTCAGCCAATACAGAAAAACTAAAGGTGTTGAGGGGAGGAGAGCTGTCATAATTGGGAAGGATGGTCCGCTGCCAGGTAGCTAGTTGGTTTAGCTCTTTCTGAGTGTCTTAGCTTTCCTTAGTCCAGAAATGTCGTGTCACGCGATTCAAACAAATATGGCACTTAATTTGCATTTTCCCTCCTTTGAGCCAATAGGAGTGGCGCTCTCATTCGTCTCCCCTGCCTCCACCACCTCTGTTCACAGTGGAATCTGTCACCTGACCTAGCTCAAACATGGCTGCGCTGGAAACTCTAATGCTGTGGATGCCCGGAACAGGTGAGTGTAAGGCGCGGGGAGCGGGGAGATAAGGGCGCTCGCCACGACCCGGGTAGGCAGTGTCCCTGGCCTCACTCCCCCAATCCCACACTGCTCTCCCGACACAAATTTTCTCCTGATCTTCAATCCTGCCTTAACAGAAGGCTCAAAAGAGGAGTGTTTCTGCCGAATCGACCACCTGGGGATTTGGAGCCAACCTGGGCAAAACGTTCCGGAGAGAATACGGATACAGAGTTATGGGTCTAGCCCCCGGCCAGTACGGCAATTGATCTTATTAAATATAGGATCTGCGTAGAGATGGGATCCACCCCTTGGAGAAAGTGGCTCTTCTCCAAAAGAGATAATAACTTGTCAAACTTAAAACAATATTTATGAAAATAAGTGCCTTCTTTCCCGGTCTGGTCCGTAGTTGCTGGTTTGTCTAGCTTCGTTTCCTCTCAGTCATGTGTTGTTTCTAGGAGGTACTCCACGAATGAGACCATTGAGAATGTGTTCCGCGTAACGCATCTCTTTCTGCCTCCCTGCACTCTGTGCTGGGAAAATGAGTCATCCGTTTGGAAAAGAGGAAACTGCTACCGAGAAGCAGCTTTTTGAATTTTTCTGTGAGTGCCTGCGGAGGGGAGAGTGGGAGCTGGCACAAGCATGTATCCATCAGCTACACGAGGCACACGGGGATATCCCAAAGAGGGTGGAAGATATACTTCAGGCGCTGGTGCTGTGTCCAGATCTGCTGAGGTAAGTGATCTCCCTCCCCACTAGAGGGTCTCAGAGCCAGAGTCACATGGTTCCTTGTGTCCATGTGTCCCATTCAACTACCCTCTTAAAGAATTAGCAAAAGCAGAGTATATTTCAAGTGTTCTGAAATTTTACCTGTAAAATATATTCCCATTAGTATTAATTTAGTTTAAAACTTTGGATTATCATCTGAAACTGGATTTAAACCTGGCCACCAAAGTATATCTGTTATCATCATTTCTTGTTTATTATCCTTAAAGATAATGGTGTAGTTACATTTTTAAAAAGTGTTTTCTTTGCTTCCAAAAAGAGCAAACCTTAATGCTAGATGTGGTGTCACATGCCTGTAATCCCAGCACTCTCAGATGTTAAGACTGGAGGATCAAGAGTTCAAGCCCAGCCTGTGCAATTTAACAAGATCCTGTCTCAAAATAAAATAAAAAAGGATGGGAATGTAGCTCAATGCAAAGGCCCTTGGTTCAATTGCTAGTACAAAAAGAAAAAAAATAAAAATAAAAAGCAAGCAAACCCTGCTCTCTTCTTGCTTATGGGTTTGAGACTGAAAATATGGTAACTCTAACAAAGGACTGAAAATGAATTGACTGAAAACTTTTCATTGTGAAATAATTAGTCTCACAAGAAATACAGTAGTAGTCAGTGTATCATCTCCCCAGCTTTTCCCAATGACATCTCATTTAGCTGTAGTACAATATCACAACCAGAAAACTGACATTGGTACATTACTGTTAATTACACTACAGATCTTATTTGGTTTGTACCATTTTTAAAATCTGCATTCATGTTTTATCGCTAGCTCTATATACTTTTACCCATATGTAGATTCCTGTGACCCGGTGGTAGTAAAGATAGACCTGTTGCATCACTACAGAAGTGATTGCATCCCTCCTCCTTGGTGCTGCTCTTTATGCTTGCACTATGATCCCTCCTTGTCTCCTGGTAACCAGATTTCTCCATCCTAGGTTTTTAATGAGTTCTTCCTGGCAAGATAGTAGTAAATAGGAGCCAAATGTTCTGATTAATCTTTCTCTGGCTTATCCTTACTTTAACTGTTAGTGTTACACAATTTAAGTACTGTATTGACACATTGATAGTATTTAAATTGCTATCTTCAAAGAAAGGCATACATTCTTATAACTTTTTTCCCCACATGGTTAAAAATAATGTTTTATGACTTATTTCTTTTATATTTGATTCATTCTTTGTGTTCAAGAATATACTTTTTTTTCTCATTGAGTTTGTTGGTACTTTTTAAGTAAGAATATACTTTAGATAGCATTACGTACAATGATGTTTTGTTTTTGTTTTTTTGAGACAGGTTCTCACTATGTAGTTGAGACTGACCTGGAACTCACTCTGTAGCCCAGGCTGGTCTTGAACTCACAGCAATCCTCCTACCTCAGCCTCCCGAGTGTGTGCACCACCATGCCTGGCCGACCCATACAATGATGTTTTAAAACAATACTAAACCAGGCACAGTGACATGTGCTTGTAGTCCCAGCTACTCAGAAGGCTGAGGCAAAAGGATCACCTGCACCCAGAACTTCCAAGACCAACCTAAGTAACACAGCAAGACTCCTAAAAAGAAAATCAAAAAGGAGAATATGGAGGTGGATTGAGACTTTTTTATGAAAACTGCCAGATCTTTTCTGGTTCTGATATTTTACTGAACTATCATATGCAATTGAGAAATTCCCATTGGAACTTGCCTATTCAGGTTTAAAATAGAGACTGAGCAGTGAATTCTAAGTTTTGGATCACAAAAGAGAAAATGTCTGTAGAAACTCCTTTCTTTTCACCTTTTTCAGATGTGGGCAGGACATCAGCCCCCAAAGATTAGCTTGGCTCTGGCTTCTTGTATTGGAAAAGTGGTTGGCCCAGGAAAAGGTAAGAGGGGCTACATTTAAATGTAAGGCCAGGACAAAGAAGAACTTGGAGTAGTTATGGGATTTCCCTTTGTCTGTTACTTCCTTTATTATGAAGTTGGTCATATTCTTTCTCAGTAAAATTACCAAATAAAAAACATGGTAAGCTAACAGCAAGAGAAAACTAGGGAAGAAGTGGTTTTTGTTTTGGGGATTTTTTTTTTTCTTTCGAGGAACCCTTCCACTCTTTTACAGTGTTTATATTATCAAAGATGAGATCCATTAAAGGAAATTCTGAGACAATTTCATACTGAACCTCAGAGTTTAAGATTAAGTAAGGATCCATCATTGGCAAAAGAATATACTGTAAAGTCAGTTAACAGAACTGGAGCTAAAACCAAAACCAGTCCTCAGTTTTTTCTACCTCAACATTATTTTT